AGAGAGAGAGAGAGAGAGAGAGAGAGAGAGAGAGAGAGAGAGAGAGAGAGAGAGAGAGAGAGTTCTTCTTCTTCCTCTTCTAAGTCCACCATCTCTTCTTCACCCTCTCACCACCTGACTTCTCAGTATCAGTGGACTRCGKCAGAGAGARAGTTGTGACTTGAGACTTGACGACATTGGATCCAGACTCGACATTGGGATTCAGACATTTTGACGAGGGACTAATTGGGCCTGTGCCGAAGACTTGGTGTTGACGACATTCCCCATCTTCCCTCTTCTTCGTCTAACCCCCATCTCCTTCGTCTGTGTATGGTTGGGGCTGGCGCAGTCTTCCTGTGTGAAGCGCCAGACCCTCTTCACACCATGCAATGATGATGATGATGTATGTTCGGAGCTGCATTGCAATATTGATAGTTCGGATCATTGGTATCTAAGTCTTCCGCTACGCTATCTTGTACTTTGTATTGAGAGGTCGGTTCTTGTTCTGGTCTGCACCGTTACAGTATGCAACACTAGCAGCACCCAGTCACGCAGCAGAAGGATCCCAGGGGTGGCGGGGCCGGGGGGGGAGGCGTAGCTAGCAGTCTCTCAGGCCGTTTCTCTCCTCCTCATGGCCAAAGCATCTAAAGAGAAAGGCTGAAAAGCTTATTGCTATGAGGGCCCGCTCGTCTCTCGCTGTATACATGCTACCCCTCTGACGTTCTAACCTCCCCACCAGTTCCAGTTGTTCATCCATAACTCCTTATACCGGCCGCCGCAGCCGGCTCAAACCTTGTGCTTGCATTCCCCTGCTTTATATCCTACTTACCACCTGCTACCTTGCCTCGTCCCTTGCCCACCATGTGTGCCACCGCCTCTCAGACAGTATCCAATCTCTGTTTTCAGGTTGCCCCAGGTTTTCCCGGTTTTCCACTTCTTTTCAAAGTTTCTGCTTTTCCCTAGAGCTCCCTCCCTGTCTCCCATCCCCTGCCCTCTTCGCCCTACCCCTCTCCTTAACCCTTCTATCTTCTTACGTCCCCCTATCACCCCCCCTATTGGTCATGTTTCCTAATTATGGTACATCTACGGTCCTACCCATCCCCCTCTCCTCTTCCTACCATCTATGAACAATCTTACAAAACGGCAATCGGACTCAGTCGCCCAGAATTCTTACCGTATTCCAATCCATCCTCCATCTCCGGCCGAGGAACATAGCGTGCCAGGATGGGGCCAAACTGCAGCTGGCCTGTGCGAGGGTTCTGGGTCAAGAGCTGGGGGGGTATGGACCCCATCTTTCCCAGAACCCAAACTCCCCCCCACTTATATGTCTACACGGATGTAATGACCCGCCCAAAACACAGACTGAGAACACTGCTGATTTCTGGGATTTGTCAATGGAATGAATGCCTTGTTGTGATTCCCGCATTCTGCTGTG